GCTTTCTGCTAAGATCCATCTAACATTAGCTATAATATCCCTAGTACCAGGACCTCTTCTAAATCCAGCCTGCACATCTGGCAGTTCTCTGTTGACATTTTTCCAAACGTTTTTGGATCATTTTCAGGAGAATCTTGCTTGTATGTGATATCAGTGATAATGTTCGATAATTTCCACACTCTGTTGGGTCACCTTTCTTTGGAATGGGAACAAATATTGATCTTTTCCAGTCAGTGGGCCAGCTGGCTGTTCTCCAGATTTCTTGGCACAACTTAGTGAGCACATCCAGGCCAGTGTCTGTCTGTTGAAATATGTCAATTGGTATGCAGTCAACTCCTGGAGCCTTGTGTTTTGCCAATTCTTTCAGAGCAACTTGAACTTCCTCTTTCATCACCATAGGCTCTTGCTCATATGTCATTTCATGAAATTCTTCTGTGTTAGCCAATTCCTTCTGATACAATGACTCTGTGTATTCCTTCCATCTTCTCTTGATACTTCCTGGATCATTTAATATTCTGCCCAAAGCATTCTTAAGTATTGCTACCCGTGGCTTGAATTTGTTTTTCAGCTCCTTCAGCTTAAGAAACGCTGAGTGAGTTCGGCCCTTTCGATTTTCCGACTCCAGCTCTCTGCACATTTCATTATAGTATCTTGCTTTATCGTCCCGGGCTGCCTTTTGAAATTTTCTGTTTAGCTCTTTAATTTCTTGGTTTCTTCCTTTAGCTTTGGCTTCTTGGCGCTCTAATGCAATATTCAGAGTCTCATCTGACATCCATCTTGGTCTTTTCTTCTTTATCAGCCTTTGTAATGATCTTTTGCGTTCTTCATGGACGATTTTCTTGATATCCTCCCAGAGATCATTTGTTCTATGCTCATTGGTGCTCAAGGCCTCAAACCTGTTTCTGAGATGGTTTTGAAATTCGAGTGGGATAGACTTAAGGTCAAATCTTGGTTCCCATGGACTTGAGTTAATTTTCCTCAACTTCAGCTTGAACTTGCATATGAGTAGTTGGTGGTCTGTCCCACAATCAGCACCCGGCCTGGTTTTCACTGCTGATATTGAGCTTCTCCACCGAGTCTTTCCACAAATGTAATCTATTTGATTCCTATGCATGTCATCAGGTGAGATCCATGTGTATAGCCTGCGTTTATGTTTCTTATAAAAGGTATTTGCAATGAATAAATCATTGAATGTGCAGAACTCTATTAGGACTAAATTATTTAACCTTTTTTTAAATTTTATTATTTTTGTGTGTGTGTGTACCGTCAAATCAGATCTGACTGGTCCAGGAGGAGATTGTCCCTCCTTCCCCGGCAGGGCATCTGGTGGATTCGAACCGTGCACCTCTGGGATTGTAGTTGCAGCTTCTTGCCACTAGGCCACCAGAGCTCCCCAAATTATTTAACCTTAAGGACAGGTTTCAGACCATTCTCTTAAGGTGTGAACTCATGACTGGGCACAGGACTCATGTCACCAGAAATCAGTTTTGCTCTCTTGACCTGGGGTACAGCAATGAATGCTGTCTACATCTGTTGCCAATAATCAAAAGGGCAACACTATGTAAGTGACTGGATAGGATAGTAGAACTGCTCCATCGAATTGTGTTGTCTGTAATATAGGAGCATATTGCCAGATCTTTTCTCCTGTGGATTCAAATCACTGTGGATGGGTCCAAATCACTGACTTTTTATTAGCAACCAAACACTTACGCTTTCCCACCAAGGCCCCCCACAAAAGTGCAAGGAAAAACTGAACTCGCTACCCGTGAGTCGATTCCCATCAGCCCGGGCGGTAAATCCCAGCAGGAGAAGGGCGCCCGTCTTTCTTCCTTGGACCCACTGGTGGGTCCGAACAGCTG